GCACATCTGTGTGCAACAGTAGCGCATATACACTGTGTGCACATATATACAACAGCAGACATACATAACTTGCTTTTTCTATCATCTCGTTTACTTATGGACTAGTCTTTTTGTGGATATTTAGATGTTTGAGTCCTGTGTAATTCATTTACTATTAATTCTAAACGACATTTCAGAACAGAATTCCAGGAGGAAATGCTAAGAACATGCACTGTTTCTGACGCAGAAACCGATCTTCAATAGGGTAAGGTTTCGTTTTGATTTACATCCTTTAGTGTCTCATCAAGTCAGACCTCGATGGTGAGAGGATTCTTGGATCCTGATGTCCAGTTATGCTAGAATCTGGCAGCTTTATTAAAAGCCTAAGAAGACTTCAATATTTCAGACAGGACTGACTTACAGCAGTTAGTAGTATCTGAACGGGAACAAGAAATAAAGCTACCCAGACACACTGGCCCTAAGCTCTACTAATTCAGGGGACAACCGGGTGGTGGGGCCTGCTGGCTGGTAACACTCTGAGTGTGTCCTAAGGCACACATGGCTAGCCCTCCTTCTGCCCTGCACAAACAGCACCCTAACAGACGTTGGAGGAAGCAGAAACCCCACAAGTCTCTCTAGAAGTCACCCTGCTGCTGGAGCCTGCCTTCTGCCTGAGGGTGCTGAGGACGCAGGAGGCTGGCCTCAGCCCCACACCTAAGGAAGAGGAGCTTCTGGAGACACCCACCACCCTGCTCCCTCCCGCCGGGTCAGCGGACCCTGCAGGGGCGCTGTCCCCACCCCAGCCCCCCGAAGAGCACAGACAAGAGTCTGGAAAAACACATGTGAAACTGCTCAACGCTGCTCACCTCTGGAAAGGACTGGAAAGAGACAGGAAAGATTTTCATTTCTTTTCCTTTTCAAAGAACTTCTGACAAAAAAGAGAAGTTCGAGATAAACAGCAACTATGTTCTCAAAACGAGTGAATCACACCCCAAACACACTTATCCTGTGGGTGTGGGTTGAGGTCCCTGTCGCCCGCGGCTGTTCAGCACGTCGAGGCGAGTGGGCCCCCCTACGTTCCCTGCAAGACGATCACTTCAGACACAGCCAACCTGATCTGAAGGCTCCTGTCCTCATGTGTGAGAAGAATGGTAAGACAGGAACGCTGGGCCACGCAGCCTCCCAGCACACACTCCATCCACACTGACTCCAACACTGCTGCACCTCTGCTCACAGCCTGGAACGCAGGGCAGAATGAGCAGGACGGCTCATACCGTCCACAGGACGCCTCCACCATCGTGAGGGATGTCCACGGGGGGCACTGAAAAATCAAGTGGCATAGGCAGAGAGGCGCACAAGATGCCGACAGGCTCCCAAGTCAAGGCTTCTTCTCTAAAATGACCCTCACCTCGACCAGCAGCTTCAGTGCTCACTGAGAGCTTAGGGGTCAAACAACACGTCCCCTCCACTAATGGTTTCCCGCCCTTCTTCCCAAATCCTTCATGCCCCCAGGACTGCATGCTGTGCCCGAGCCCCACAATCGTGATGACCTCTCCAGGTGCTGGGACCACCCTGGGATGCCTGTCCCGGCGATGCCTGAGTCAGCTGGCCCTTGTGCATCGGCCAGGACTCACGTGAGCTTTGCCCTGTTCCTCCCAGGGCCACGTGGGCCTGGTGGCTCTGCTCACAAACCTGTCACCGTAGGCACACGTGCTATCCGGCATCAGACAGGGGCAGCCTTGGGGACGGCAGGAATGCTTCTCTCTGAACTGCCAGGTCCCAGCATGGTACCCGACACATGACTTGTGTCCCATTAGACTTGACAGATCTCTGCTCTGGATGAGGAGCCTGCACCATTTACACTGGGAATTCACTTCTGACAAGCCAGCACCATCTGTCCACGAGGACCCTGAAGGTGGAGGGATATTTTATACTGTTTCCTCCCAACACTTACCACAGTGTGCTGCACCACACAGCGCTCAATATAGGACCCATCAGTGGTGACTGCATTAAACATTTACAACTACAAAAGCAGTACTTCAAGTTCCGTATAACATATCCTCTGAAAAGTGTCATAAAAGACGGCAAGAATCTGTACTTAAAAAATAATTTTAAAGAGTTTAACATAAAGAACATTTTGACATCAAAATGAGAATGAAGATTGTATATAGAAGACATACATTTAAAAAAATACACTTTTAAAAGCAAAAATAAACCAAATAACAATGCGAGGTCCCGACACTTCCAATCACTAGTGATATAACCTACTGGAAAACAAAAGAGCAAATGTGTGACAGGCACCAGCAGGACGGCAGGCAGGAGGCTGGGCCCCTCCCCACAAACACTGATTCAGCCACAAATCCCAGATATTCCCTTTGTGAGAAAGCAGACACTATCGAGAGGCTCCTGTTCCCAGGAGACTGTGAAACCAGGCTCGCCGGGGCTGGCAGGGCAACCTGCAACACCCTCTGGCCGGAGTCCCTGCCACGGTGCAGCAACAGAGGACCAAGCAGAGACCCCAGCTCCCAGCCGCACACAGAAGGAGGAGCTGGGTCACGTGTCCAGCACCCCAACTTTCTGAGGGGCTCCCAGAGGACTGGCTTCTGTCCTGCCAGTCCTGGAGTGTGGCTGGGTCAGGCAGTCTAGCTGACCGAGGAAGAAAGGAGGGAGTGGCTTGGGCTGCTGGACACCACAGCTCCTGCCCCACCTGCTCAGCAGAGAGTGAGTGGACAAAGGCACAGCCGCCTACTTTTCCCTGCGGAGGAAACGCTGACAGAGACCTTCAGACTCTCTGGCTGGGCCCACGGGGAGATCTGAGATCAGTCTGTGAAGACTGGGTGGGGGAGGGGTCTGCTTTGTCTAATGCAGGACACCAACACAGAGTCAAGGAACATGAAGAATCCGGCAAAGACGTTCCAAAAAAAGAGCAAGCCAAATCTCCAGAAGCAGAGCCTAATGAAACGCAATTACACGATTTACCTACAGAGAGTTAAATAACTACCACAAAGACGCTCACTGAAGTCAAGAGGATGCAGCAGGAACAAAGCGAGAGAAAATGTAAGAGAAGTACCAAACAGAAACGGAGGTGTGAAGAACACACGACCGAACTGAAAAAGTCACTGCAAAGTGTCACCACAGTGATGGACAGAGTCAACGCAACACCCATCAAAATCCCAATGGCAGTTTTTACAGAAATCCTACAATCCATAAGAAACCACAAAGACCACAAATAGCTGCAGCGATCTTGAGAAAGAAGAACAAAGCAGGAGGCAGCACATTTTCTGATTTCAAACTGTATTATACAGATGTAGTACCCAAACCCGTACGAACTGACACAAAGACAGACAGAGACCAAGGCAACAGAATCGAGGGCCCAGAAGTACTTCCACGCACACACACTCGCCTGGTCTTCCGTGACGGTGCCAGGAACACACAGCAGGGAAAGGACAGTCTCTTCTATTAATGATACTGGGAAAACTGGATGTCCCACATGCAAAGAATAAAACTGAACCCTTATCTTACACCATACACAAACCCAACTCCAAATGGATCGAAGGCTTAAATCTAAGACCCCAAACCGTAAAACTCCAAGAAGAAAACAGATGGAAAAAGCTTCATGACGTTGGTTTTGGCAATGATTTCATGGATATGACACCAAGAACATGGGCAACAGGAACAAAAATGAAGAACTGGGACAGCATCACACCAAAAGGCTTCTGCACAGCAAAGGAAACAATTAACAGAGTGGAGGGAAACCCACACAGTGGGGGAAAATATTCGCAAATCATCCATCTAATCAGAGACTGATCTCCAACATATATAAAGAACTACAACTCAACAGTAAAAAAAACAAAGAATCTGATTTAAAAAATGCGCTAAGGACTTGAATAGACAGTTTTCCAAAGCAGCTATACGAATGGCCAACAGACGTATGAAAAGATGCTTAACGTGACTAGTCATCAGGGAAATGCACGTCAAAAGCACAAGGAGCTGTCACCTCACACCTGTCAGAACGGCTAATAGCAAAAAGCACAAGACGACCAGCATTAGCGAGGGTGGGGAGAAACTGGAACCCTTGCACACTGCTGGTGGGAATGCCAAATGGTGCAGCCACTGTGGAAAACAGTATGGTTTTATTTTCTAAAAACAGAACTACCATATGATCCAGTAATCTCATTTCTGGGTATTTATCCAAAAGAACTGAAATCAGGATCTTGAAGACTTATTAGCACTCCTATGTTCACCGCAGCACTATTCACAATAGCTAAGGTGTGTAAACCACCCAGGTGTCCACTGACAGATGAACGGACGAAGAGAACACATTGGACACATATAATGGAAAACTATTCAGCCTGAACAAGGAAGGAAGTTCTTCAATACATAAGAACATAAATGAAACCTGAGAACATCACGCCAAGTGAAATAAGCCAGTAACACAAAGACAAATACTGCACGATTCCACTTCGATCAGGTATCAAAAATTGTCAAATTCATAGGGTCAAAGTGTGGTATGGTGGTCGCCAGGGGCTGAAAGGAGGGGAAGTGGCAGGTTACTAACCAATGAAACGAGATGAACGAGCCCTGGAGCTCTGCCGGACAACAATGTACCTGCAGTTAGCAAGACTGCACCGCACACTCAAAACGTTCTAAAGAGGGAAGATCTCACGTTAAGTGCACAATAACATAACATGAAATAAAGTTTTTGAAAAGATTTGTATGTAGATGTACATATTACTTCAATTTTTTAAAAAAGCATTTGAAAAAAAGAAAAAAATGACATTATAAATATTATCTACTGAATCATAAGACCCACTGTGTCTTCTTTTGTTAGGAGCTGGGAGCCTAAAGGGTCTGTTTAAAGTTAATAAAGTGGAATTCAACCAGAGTGAGTGTGACTGACTGTGTGCTAGCGGCTGTCCAGCACGTCCACGTGAACCAGGAACGCAGGCCCTGTGGTGACGGGCCTCCTCAGCTCTCAGCTCCCGCTCAGTGCAGCAGCCCCTCCTTGCAGAAACACTCACCTTCAAGAGCATCCAGGAAATGCAGGTGAAGGGGGTGCTCATCTCCAGGAGCAATGTGGTCATGGCTAGATAGTGGCCGGCTTTGAGATTGACCACTGAGCCAAGGAATCCAAGGAAGGCAAAGAGATGGTGGACAACCAAGAACAAGTCGAATGTCCGGAAGAACAAGCTGGACAGGTGAACGGCCACATTTTCAAAGAAAAAGAATCCAGTTGCCGTTGCCACATGAAACCAACACCAGTTCTGCTGGCCACGTGCTTTATCAGCTTGAAGGACAGGGTCCACCAGCAATGCCCACAGGCCTGCAGCAGTGCTCTGAACACCAAAGACGGCGCGAGTGGCTGCCAGGTTCCAGAAGACCTTCTCTTTGGCCACCAGAGAGCGGTAGGTGGCGTTCAGGGAGGACGACAGCTGGTGGCAGACCACAAAGACGCCCAGGTAGAAGACAAAGCCCGCGACGACCAGCGTGGAGCGGGTCTTCCATGACGCGTAGTCCAGGTCGAAGATGCTCTCCGAGGTCCCTCCATCACTCACGAGGCTCATGGTCCTCAATCGTCGGTCAGAGGTGTCCCGGGGCCAACAGACGGCTCTGGGGCCCCACACTGCGTCTTGTCCAAGAAAAGGAAGTCAGTGCTACGGTCTCTAGGATCTTCATGTATCTGTCTTCAATCTGAAGAAAGAAGAGGTGATTCACTTTATGTGACTAAACAGAATCTAGGACACAACACTACTCCAGTACCACAAAAACATAATAAAACTATTTTTAAAAATTCTTTATCTTATTCTTAGGCAAACTTTTGAAGATAAACAGCAAGGAAACATCCACTGGTAGACCAGGAGAAGGAAAGAAAATGCAATTAGAGCTGGAGGTCAGCCAGGAGCGGGAGGCAGGAATGCTAACAGGACACTGTCCCAGACTCTTGTTCGAGTCGGCCACAGGCCAGCTCCAGCCTCCATGGCCCGTCAGTCAGTCACATGGTTCACAGAGTCCACAGGGTAAGCACACTGAGATCATCACAGCGGAAGAGACTTTGTTAAAGCATTTTACTTCCAGAAGCCCAGACAAGAACACTGCCCCGGCACTCCAGTCTGTCTGGCAAAGCCCTCTGCCAATGTTACCACATTTCCACCACCATCCACGGGACATGTCTGGGTTCGAATCCCTGCGGCACCACATCCTGGCTCCAGACTCGTCCAAGGCTCGGCTTCCTCGTGCGGAAAGCACTGCTCTGAGACCAGCAGGGCGATGGATGCAAAGGGACTAAAACAATGTCTGGCACACGGCAGGTATTCGCGGGTTTAGTACTAGGATCATCACCATTTACTGCCATTCAGACGTCCTCACAAACAGTAGGAAAAAATAAGTCCTCAGTTCTAGTCTGTTAACTTGCAAACGCTGAGAACTCTGTCCTCAGGACCCCACCAACTCATCAGAGCCAGCGCCCCAGATTAGATCTGAGACGGGCGAGGCCATGCACGCCCTGCTGTGCCACCTTCAGACACAGAGGACGGACCCCACAAACTACTCAAGGCTCCGGTCTGCAGATGCACTGAGCGCCTCTCCCCCTCCAGCTCTCACCAGTCTACACTGAGTCCCTGCCAGAGGAAACCCATTTCCCGCCCTGCACCAGATCATCCTAACGGCCTTCTCTAGCTCTCAAATTCAAGGTGGTAATTCTGCTCATTCAGACCATGAAAGAAATCCCCTAAGTACGTAAATGATGACTTACACAGGGGCCATGGGTATAGTGCACCAGTGATCAGACCGTTTCGGAAATGCACTTCTCCTCCTAACAGTGGTTGCCTACAGGCAGGGGGAATATTGTGAACATACTTACCCATTCAAGAAATAAGTTCAGTTAAAACAAGTCAGTAACTTTTCTCTGCAACGGTGTAAAATGTTGTCATTCTTTCACGGCCCTTTTTATATTTCTGCTATTCACAATCAACCCTTTTCTGATTCTACCTCAGGCTTGACAAAACTTGAAGGTAATGTAAAACAAGTTTCAAGTTTTATTTCCAATATACTTAAGAACTTCCCTGAACTGCCGGGAGCCGTGGCTACATCATTTGATTGGCTGTTTGACAGGGTCCAGCCGATAACGCCGAGGAGTGCAGGGTCGCCCCTTGGTGAAGAATAACCTGCCGCCCCCTCACATAGTTCTGAAACCTGTGCTGCTTCTAATTGCCCTTCATTCCTTTTCCTTTCTTAACCTCCAGTTTTCACTCCTTTGGGTGGCTGCTTGAGAAGCACTACCTCCCAGGAAAATTAAATATAGTAAGAGAATGTGACCACCTGCAGGTAACTTTCAAAATATTTTTCTGAGAGCTAATTTCGTTTGACGCAGTTAATTAATGGAGGAGCACACAGTCCCTTTTGAGACAAGCAGAAAGGAATCCTGCCCAGATAAGATGTCGAATTAGGTTTATGGCCTCCATCTCGTTAATGTTTCCTTCTTCCTCCAGTTCTTTGTCTAAATATATATGCATCGCCCTTTCAAGTTTGCTGGTTAATTGGATGATCAAGAAGTATCTATATATTATTCTTGACCTTCTGCTTTCTGTTAAAACGTTATAGAGGTTTTCTCCTAAAAGCAATAAATAATATATAATTGCTGAGTAGAAGGGCCAAGGGGTGCAGGGATGCCCCTCGGTGAAGAATGGCCAGCCGACACCCCTGATATTTTCTGAAATGTATGCATGCTTTCTATCAAGGTTATGACTATACTTGTTTCTGCTTTTTATTCTTGAAGATATATAGTTTAGCTTAGCTTTTCAGCCCTTTACCTTACTAACAAAATGGTATTTTCTCCAGGCAGTGTGCTCAGGGGACTGTTAGCCCTGCCTCCTAGAAGACAAAGGAATGCTTTCAGCCCCTAAGGGGCACCCTGAGAACTACCCGCTGAGAACACAAATAGCCCTGGGGATAAGATACCCTGGAGTTGCCATTAACCATCTACACTAACGGCGTAAATGATTGAGGGAGGCAGGGGTGGCTCCCCCAGGATATAAACAGAGGGAATGCTGTCCTGTCCGGAGGTCTGGACCTTCTCTCTTTGATTTAACTTTACCATGAATTACAACAGATGTCAAGGTACCTATCTCTTTTAGCTTAGAGACAACAAACAATAATTAACTGCGGAGAAGACGATCATTAACCTTATGCTCTATGGAACAGAATGCTAATAAATATTCTTGTGCTCGTTTTTTACTTCCTTATCTCTCTGAGAATATTTGTAGAGCTATTTCTGTACTAGTCCTGAAAAATATAAAAACGACACTTGTGCACAAAAAGTTGGACTTGCTAACACCAACCCAAGTCTCACGTCTCCTCCCTCACTGCACCGGACACTGTCCCTCCCTCAGGAACCTGGACTCAGCCGGAGCGGGACTCCGGCATGCAACCAAACTGGAAGGTCACCTGCTGGTTTTACACTAGTTAGCACCACAGAAGGCGGTGGAGCTACCTCCACAGGTCACAAAATTTATGCATGCTCCTTGTCTTCACGCACGTTTCTCTCACAGCCTGAACTCTGAGCCCCTCGGGACGACCGCCCAGCTCCCTGGCTCCAGCTTGCACCAGCCCTGCAGCTCGCGCCACGCTGCAGCTCACGTCCTTTGCCTCCCGGCCTCTGCTCTCGAGGCCCTCTGCCTACAAGAGTCCTGCCTCACCCCGCCCCACGCGGTAGCCCGACTCTTTGGTCCTGGCATCAATGTCACTCCCTCCAGAGGCCCTCCCAGGCCAGGGGCCGTGCCACCAGTGAGGCCAGGTATGTGTGCTACCTGCTCATACCGCACCATCTTCTCCATGATCGTCTCTAAGGACGCGCTCTAAGTGCTAATAACCCTGACCTCCACTGGACCAGCGCCCTGATGGGCAGCCATCCGTCCCTGTGCCCCGCTGCCTGGCGCAGGGCCTGGCGCAAAGGGCTCAGGAAACACTTCACAGAAGTGTTTGTTTTCCATTATTCAAGTACCACTCAGCTCTAAACAGGCCAGCTCTGCATGGACAGGAATCTGTGAGGGAAGAAAGGAGTACACCCCATTTCCACCTAGAATCCCGATGGCTCCCTGCTCTCGCCCCTGCCGCATGTTCCACACACAGGATGCTCCGTATGGGTGAAGTGATGACCGGGCAGCTGCCCTGACCCCGGTGCAGACCGGTCTCTGTCTGTGTCACGCCGAGACTCCAGCTTATTTACACATCTCACAGCACACTGAAGAGTCGGTCTGTACACAGATGAAGTTCAACACCACATTAAGAGGCTGGTAAGAGCACTCGCTTGGGGTAGCTGTGTGTGTAGGTTAACTTTTTTCTGTGCATTATGATGTTGTGACATCTTAAAACCCTCTGGCTGGGAGAGACGGCCCCTCGCAGCTGGCCGATCCTCAGAGACAGCAGAGCAGGAGCAGGCCTGTGACATGCCCACCAGCCACCAGAGCTGGCCCCTCCACCTGCCCTGTGCCCAGGAGCGAGATTCCTCTGCCTACAGCCAAACCCAAGGAAACGATTCCATCCAGCCAGTCTGAGTGCTCCCCTGCCCTGCCTGCCTTCCTGTGGGAACCCCGGGAAAGGCCATGGCCCAGTTCTTCCCCTTGCTCCTGTCTTCTGCCTCCTGACCCTGCGGTGCTGCCTTGTGTGGCCCAGCGTGGTGCTGTCTCTGGGACCCACAAGCACAATAAGCTGTTTTTTCCTGAGCCTCTCCTCCATCTCCTCTTGAGGGGAGCTGACTGACCGTCTCATAAAAGAACCCAGAACAATCTGGGTCTGCAGGTGGTCGGCCGCCTTCTAAGCCCGCAGGGTGGGGCAGTATGAAGTTCACAGTGCAGATCAGTTTCCAGCAAGGGTAATACCAGCAAGGCAGACAGATTCTCAGTGTCAGGGAGAGAGGAAGCCTCACCCTCAAGAACCTCATGGGAACCCATGCAAAGGGCTGCCCTACACAAAACTGTAAACTCTGCTAAAATTCGGGCTCCTCCCCAAATTCCTTCCTGTACTTTGCTGCAAGCCAGTCATGAGGTTCAGGTTACGGTTCCCACTTTCCACAGTTGCACCACTATGCTCTTGGCCAAGCCACCGCCTCTGTGGAGCCTCTGCTTGAACGGGAGGGTCCCCGTGACTCTGAAAGGCTCTGTCTGAAACAATGACTCGCGTTCGCCCCCGGGGAAGCGGTCAGTGCAGGTGCTATTCCAGGAAGGTTGTCTGGCTGGGAGGGACTGCAGGACACTAGGACAAAGATCAAGAATAGCCTGGCTTAGTGGGTTCTGCTACTGAGCTGAGAAAACAAGCTTCTTAACCACAGTAGACCCGCGTCTGACTAGGGGAATAAGAACTAGACATGAACACTGGCGGGGGACACTGGTAACTAACATGAAGCACCAGCCAGGCATGTTCAACTAGGTCATGCACTCTTTCTGAACGGGTAACAGGATGTTTCCAGCTTACACAAGAGAGCCCAGGCTATTATTTGCCTCGACGACAGGGAGACTCAGGCCTCTGGTCCCTGGGGCACACCCGCTGCAGAGGTTGCTGCTGTTTGTTTCTTTCATGCCTATGGAAGACGCCACACCTGGCCCTCCCCCAGAGATTCTGACTCCATCGCCCTGGAGTGGTGGCCAGGCCGGGCCATCTTTTAAGTGCCCAGGTGCCCAACCACTGAGCTGGCACGGTCTCGGGTCCCCTCCTGGTCGTCAAGTCCCACAGCTCTGAGGTGTGCTGGCTTAGCCTCCTCCTTCTTCCAAACCAGGCGGGCATTACTGAGACGGCATGGAAGAGTCTCCTGTGTGCTGTCGGTGGTTCTGAATGCGAGCTAGAGACACTGCCCTGGAGAGAAACCCTCACCATAGACCCCACGAATCCGTCTTCCCTCCTTCCCTCCTCCGACCTCCCTGCTTCCCATCGGGCAGCACGAGGAGAGGTGGGGTCCTGAGGGTGGAGCAGAGGGCCTGGGTGGGGATGGCCTGGGTGTGCCTCCAGGGTGGAGACGTGGATGGCCCGGGGGAGGGACAACAGAGACACTGAGGCCAGGAGACCAGGAGCCACTCCCCAGTGGGAAGAGGCCAGAGCACAGACCCCAGCTCCTGGCTCTGCACGTTTCTGAACCGCGTGTCGACTGCCTCAGTGAGAAGCCTTGAGGGAGGAAAGGAGGCACAGGGCGCAGTGAAGAGGCACACGTAAGGAGGGCCCAGGACCAGATGGTGCTAGCACTCGGGGAGGGGGGGAGGCGGTGCCAGGGACTGGCTCCAAGGACCCAGAGATCTAGGAAAAACATTCCTTTCAAACCCATAGCACAGAAACACCCAAGACTGGCTTCCAGATCCTCAAGCCTTCTAGGTAACCCTTCTGCAGACAGTGTCACGCCTAAAGCAGGAAGCTCGGACAGGCTAAGGTCGGCACCGGAGCAAAAACCAGGAGCAGCAGAGCCAGTCAGGGCAGACCCTCCCCGCAGTCACAGCCGCTGTCAATTAGAGAAACACAAGCAACTCACCATATGAGCCCGGCACCTGCTCCCCTTCAGAGCCCGTGACCATGTCCCTGTCCCGATCCTTGCTCCAAACCTCCCCAGTACACCTGTTTCCACACAGCTGCGGGCACAGCATTTCCGGGTAAGCTGGGGCTGGTCTAACCTGTCACCCTGGGTCTCAGGGTGTGGTCAGCACCAGTCAGCACCCCCGGTCAGGGACGCACAAACAAGGTGAACCGCCAGGAGGGAACAAGGCCAGGCCTTGGGTCATGGGGATCTGCCGGCACCCAGTCCGGGCAGCCTCCCTGGGGCCCTGTAGACACTGCTGAGCCCCTGACATCAGTGTCCGCTGAATCCACACCACACAGGGACGGCTGCAGGGGCGACGCTAACCCTTTGTCCCAGGCCCTCTTCTGGAATGGGAGTGCAGACGGGGGTGGGGCAGAGTTCCAGTTCTCCTTTTGCCTCTTGCTGGCCTGCTCACCCTGACCACATCCGTCTTACCTTCGGTGGGACACTGGGGTCACCACTGCTCCACTCCTTGTGCCTGCCTCGCCTCAAGCTCAACTTAAGGGCTTCTTCGTGTCGCCTGAGACCCAAAGGGAAGGCTCATACCTTCCCCCAGCACAACAGGAGGCCTGCAGCACGGACTCATCCTATCCTTCCAATCCAGAAGGCTTCGAAGCCCACGCACAATGGCCCTTCATCTCAGTGGTCAACCAGCTGCAGCCAGGAGAAAACTGACTCCTGGAGGGGCCGAAAGCCCCGTCTCTCTGCAGGCTTTCAGATTCTTCAGGAAGAATCTATCTAGGAACCTCATCTCGTTCTTTCTTTTTATAAGATCTGGTGGTTTAGGCTGCTCTCCTGCACTGGACATTTTAAAAACATTAGTAAGAGTGTCAGCCCCAGTGCTGCAGCAGGACCAGGCAGCCATGTCTCCAGGATGGGGCTCAGTAGCCACCAGACCCTTTCAGCTCCTCCTGACAGCATCCATGAGCCCCTTCTGTTCAGCGCCGGCTAAAGTGCCACGGATGCCAGCATTTTGTGTTTGGAGGAGATAAAAACTTGGCAATGAAGTCAGAAAAAGGAAAAAGGCTTGCATGCCTTTTTATGTCATGCTGGCTTACTGCTTAACAGCCCCCCTGCGGATCACTTGACTTTCTAGGGCAGACACTGAAAGTCACTCTTTACCAGGGATGGGGGCCCAGGCATTCCACCTCCGTGAAGTCAGAGGTCAACCTGTACAACGCTGACACGGTGGGATAATCTCCCTGGCCGCCCAGGAGAAGGGACAACCCCAAAGGCGGTGGTTTCACGGCCAAGCAGGACGTTCCCCAGCGTCCCTTTTATCCACGCTCTTTTGAACGGTCTGTCATCCTGCTGGGTCCTTCCCAGGGAGTTAAATGCCACCTGACACGTGCTCACTGCCTGCATGACAACCAGGTTTCTCCTATTCTGAGAATGATACTTTGATAGTTTGCAAAAACGTCTTCTTCCAAAATCAAAAGAGATACAGGCTCCATGAGAAAGATACAGAAAATATAAACAGGCATCAAAATAAAGAAACCAAGCCCTGTAAGCCTCCTCCGAGCTCCAAGCACTATTACTATTTGGGGCGTCTGCTGGGTCACTCGTTTAACGGAATATAAACAGATTTTTCCCTAAAAGCGGGCGCACGCACCCTTCCTCCCGCGGGCCGGGCAGCGCCCTCACCCGGGGTCTCCGTGCGCAGGTGCGCAGAGGGGGCGCCGCCGGCTCCTGCAGCGCCCGCCTGACCCGGCCCGCAGCGCCCCGTCCCCGCGGCCCCCAGCTCGGGGCTCTGACCCAGGCAGTGACCCCTCGGCCTGCGCAGTCTGGACCCTGCTCTGCGGAGGGGCGGCCCGGCCGGCGGCGCCCTGCGGCCCAGGGGAGGATGCCCGTCCCCGACCCCGAGCCCGCCGTCCCCCGCTGCCCGGGCCCCCGTCCCCGACCCCGAGCCTGCCGTCCCCCGCTGCCCGGTCCCCCGTTCCCGACCGCCCCGCCTTGTCCTCTCTCCGCCCCCGGGCCCCGCGTCGCCGTCCCCGAGGCTCACGGGCAGGCGAGGTCCACGCCGGGGCAGTCCGCGCACACTGAGCGCCGGCGCCCGGGGCGCTGGGGGCGGGACCGGACGCCCGACAGGACCGCAGACCCCGCCCCGCCCCGCCCCGCCCCACGCGGCAGTCACCCACTGCAGGGCTGTGGCCACGACCCGGCCCCTCACCCTTCGCCTCTCACCCCTCACCCCGGCCCGCGTCCACCCAGCCCTCACCGACCGCGTCAGCTGTCACGACCCCGCCGCAAACGCCGCCGCGCATGCGCACCTCCGGTGGGCGGGGCCTGCGCGCGGCCGCCGGGCGAGACCACGGGCGCCGGAGGTGGGGGAGCGGACGGGACCACAGGCTCGGGAGGCGGGGGTGCGGGCGGGACCACGGGCGCCGGAGGTGGGGGAGCGGGCGGGACCACGGGCTCGGGAGGCGGGGGTGTGCGGGCGGGACCACGGGCGCCGGAGGCGGGGGTGCGGGCGGGACCACGGGCTCGGGAGGCGTGGGGGTGCGGGCGGGACCACGGGCTCGGGAGGCGGGACCACGGGCTCGGGAGGCGGGGGTGCGGGCGGACCACGGGCTCGGGAGGCTGGGGGCCACGGGGGGTGCGGGCGGGACCACGGCCGCCGGAGGCGGGGGTGCGGGCGGGACCACGGGCTCGGGAGGCGGGACCACGGGCCCCGGAGGCGGGACCACGGGCTCGGGAGGCGGGGGTGCGGGCGGGACCACGGCCGCCGGAGGCGGGGTGCGGGCGGAGCGGCGGGGCGCGGCGGGAGGTCACCGGAGTGGTTCCCGGGACCTCGAGGTCCGCGCGCCCCCCGCCCGCCCCGCCCCCGGCCCTCTCCAACTGCGCCGACCCAGGACAAAGCTGTCACGCCCCAGCCGACCTCTCCAGGACACCTGGCCGTACAAGGAAGGGGTCGTCCGAGCTGACCCCAGACTCCGGGCATCCCGGGACTGGCGAAGCTTCTGCACCCCGCAACCCAAGCAAGGGCCCGAGCCGGCGCAGACCCGGCCCCGCGGAGACCACCCCACGGAGCTCTTACGGAGCCCCCACCGATCTCCCACGGAATCGCCACTGAGACCTCGAGGAGCCCCCTCTGAGACCCTAAGGAGCCCCAATGAAATCCCACAAATTCCTCACCGAGACCCCACCAAGGACCCACGGAAGACCCTCAAGAAGGACCCATGAGCCCCCACTAAGACCCACGGAAGCCCGTCGCCGCCCAGCCTGTGAAGGCCCAGCTGCAGGCCGGTCTGCCCAGCCCTGCGCAGTGACCAATCACGGTGACTCAGCCCTCAGAACCCAGGGCTCCTTGGAAAAATAAGTCGGCCATCCAAGGCCACCAAGCCTCTGGAGATGTCGAGCATTGAATGTATAGTTTCACTTCCCAAACCACCCTGTGGCCTTAGGCAAATGACCTAACTTCTCCCAACCCCGGTTTCTAGGTTCTGCTTTCTGCAAAGCCAGTAAACCCTCCTGACCCAGCCATAAGCAGGCTGTCAGTCCTGACAGCCCGTGATGTCAAGCTCCCTGAAAATCACAGAGTGATGGAGAGACAGCAGCCACTAACATTTCCGGGAGTTCTTCCCTCTCAAGCAGCCCCTTTAGTCTTCCCAGGACCCTGGAAAAGGAGGTTGGACATGTTTGCACTGGGGTATGGCTTTCAAAGCACTCGAGGGGGGTGGTCTCATTTTGTATGGATCCCTGGTCAGCAGGCGCCTCTCTCCTAGCCCGTGGCCCCTGTCCTGGCCCTCAGGATCCGAGTCTGTAAAATGGAAATATGCACTGCCCACTCCACATGGTGGAGAGAATTAGATGCTACGAGCTGGAACAGCAGCTGGCGTTACGTCGGCATTCAGCACACGTTATTTAAAAAACAAATTAATTGTGAGGTAATGCAGCTGAAACAGCTTCATGAACTGTGAACTGGTTTTCAGGAGTGAGGCGGTGTCTCCACTTTCCGGATGGAAACCTCTGGCGTGGGAGCATTCTGTGGAAGGACCAGCACAGGGAAGATGGAGTCAAGGAACCTAGAACTGGGGGGTTCTGTTTTTGAGTGTAGACACCAGGCTTTGGAGAGCCAGGAGCAGCCTTGCCTAGAGTGGAAAAATGTGGCTTTGGAGTCAGATGGACCTGGGCTCCAGAGCCACCAGCCGCGAGCCCTGGGTGTGCATCTGCTTGACCTGCGAGGCCCGGCCTCAGTTGTGAAATGTGGAAGTAACACCTGGGAGGGTGCTCTGAGATTTCCTGGGGCGCTTACCTGTTGGGGCTCGGTTGCTGTGCTGGCCCAGGACTACTCATGCGTCACCATGCAGCAGGGCCCTGGCCCAAGGATCTCACTCCAAAGGCTTCTCTTTACGGCACTTGTCACCACCAGACATGCTGTATTTTTATGGGTTTGTTCTAGTTATTTCTTTATTTTCTATGTCTTCTGACTATACTGCCAGCTGCATGAGAGCAGGAATTGGTCTTGTTCAGCACTGGGAAAAGTACCTGGCACACATTGGTGACCAATAAGTATTGTTGAAAGGACAGATGAGGCAAGGAATGAGAAGTATCTGGACGGAAGTCATCTTTATCCACGCTGCCTGCACCACCCCCAGGCCAACTCTGTGAGAGGCGCTCGAAAGTGCATTGTATTGGAGCCAGCTCGGTGGCATAGTGGCTGAGTTCATGCCCTCTGCTTCAGTGGCCCAGGGTTCACGGGCCCAGATCCTGGGCACGGACCTACACACTGTGCATCAAGCCATACTGTGGCAGTGTCCCACATGCAAAAAACAGAGGAAGATTGCGATAGATGTAGCTCAGTGAAAATCTTCCTTGAGCAAAAAGAGGAGGATTGGTGACAGGTGTTAGCTCGGTGACAATCTTCCTCACCCAAAAAAATAAAAGATAAAATACTGTCAACGAAAATAATCCATAACCAATCTATAAATGAAAATTTGGGTGAGTTTATTCTGAGCTGAAATCTGAGGACCATGGCCCGGGGCCTTTCTTCCCGAAGGAAGAAAGGGCACCAAAGAAGTGAGGTATACAGAGTAGTTGTATACCCCCATACAGGACGTTTCACATATGATTGAAATGTCCCTCCCACAATAGTCACAAGATTGCCCTGTCAGCACAGCGCTTGATGGACACAGCAGGTAGTGGGTCTGCTATCTCGGAGGGCGAGGAGGGCGTAGCAGGAGGCAAGTCTATTGTCTTGAGCTGGGTGGTCACAGGTGAGCGCAGCAATCAGCTTCTAGCCTAAGGAAAGATGCTTGATCCTTAAGGGAATGCCAACGTTGGGAGGGGGAGGGAAGTTGCACCTTTATCTCAAGGGCCTTTGTTCTTGCCATAGGGAATATCTAAAGCAGATATACAATGCATGCTCAACGGCCTCGGTCAGGCCCTTTTGGAAAGACAAGGTCAGGCCGAATTAGGTTTACACAAAATGGCTTCCTCATATTCTCCAATATATCCTATTGCTTGCCATTTTTATTTGTCAATACCAATTCCTTTACCCTACCTCATTAAAAACAAAATGAATTGAATTAAAAATATGATGGAGGAGCCGGCCCACTGGAGTAGCAGTTAAGTTCACATGCTCTGGTTAAGTTCACACGCTCTGCTTTGGTGGCCCAGGGTTTGCCAGTCTGGATACTAGGCACAGATCTAGGCACTGCTTGTCAAGCCATGCTGTGGGAGGCATCCCACATATAAAGTAGGGGAAGACGGGCACGGATGTTAGCTCAGGGCCAGTCTTCTTCAGCAAAAAGAGGAGGATTGGCAGTAAGTAGCTCAGGGCTGATTTTCCTCAAAAAAAATAAAAATAAAAAAATAATGAACGCCCTTTGAAAATAGAATATTGTAAACTTATTAGATGTGTTCAGCACATTAGGAAGAAGGTACCCTCACATTCAAATTTGGTTATTTTTCTGATGTCTCATTTAGGTTTTAGATTTAATATTCCAAAGATTGGATTTAGATATTCAAGGATCCTGTCTTTCCACTCCGCCATCTTCAAAGCATAGTGATAAACGCAATCGTTTTTTCAAAAATTACAGGTGTAACTGGTGATAAATATCCAAGTGGACTTGAGAGAACTTGGAATGCAATGCCGCCTGCTTCCTGCTCCCGTGGGACCCACGTGACTCTCATCCCAGAGGAGACACCTGTGCCTCCAACCCGGTGGCTTGCCTCCTCGTCCCTCAGGATGTAACGACAACGACAAGTTTACTGTGTGAGGTCCCAGGCCGAGCGCCAACGCTGAATGGTTCATTCAGACCTCACATTGTCTGGCACATTTTCAAGCATTCTTCCCCGTGTTTTGTAGACAAGAAAACCAAGGCTCCCTGAGGGCCAGGTTAAGTAACTTGTCCAGCTGCTCGCCACGGCGCAAAGATGAAGCTGAGTTTTGAAATACCACATCATGCGGTATTTAGAGAAGAAGATTGAAAAGACTTTTCAGAAGAGGTGGGGAGGGACAATTTTGACATTATCTTTTTTCTCCTTATCATATAAGCAATGCATGCTCATTGTTTGTTTAATTAAGAAAAAGTCAGAGTTTGAAAAGACATTAGCAGAGGAGTGGTGGTGAGGTTTCCCCTCATCTGCCTGTTTCTTTCTAAGAACTAAGGGAAATGACTGAGCCCTCAGAGGGGAGGGAGGGAGGAGAGAATGTCCTGGCATTAAATCTGAGCGGAGAACATCGTAACCCTGCAGGGGAGGTGTCCATCCATGTGCCGTGCTTCCACACAAGCTTGCAAAGCATCGGAACCCGTGTTCATGATTGGTGGCAGTGGGTCTGAAACAAGCCTG